AATCATCAGGTAAGAGGCAAGACTGTTAAAGGGAAAATCAGCAGATCCATGCTCCAGTTCCATCTAAGCTTAACAAAGCAATCTTGATGTACAATTGTTACTCCCTTGACTACTGCTTTGAAGGATCTAACTTCATACAGAGAATACATACTATTCAAGTTCTCTTACTGTGTAGTTCTTGCTACCTTCAAGTACCTTTTCTTTCAGTACTACTGCAAAGTTTTCTTCCATAGATCAAGAAAGGATTAAGCATTAGTAGAACACTTATCTGCACCTTCTATGCTATAGCTGGTTTATATGTAATATATATTACATATTTATAATATGAACATTAATATACACACACACATATCTGAATGGTTATCAGAACAGCAGATAACCATGTTGCTAAGCCTGTTTTTCTAGGCAGTCCTCTTCTTGGCCATAGAAACCATAAATGCTTGCTTGCCATGCAATGTAGCAGAAAAGTGCCAGGTGCCAACGTTAGGAAAAATACTTCTGCCCACATTATCTGCCTGCATCAGTCACTATTCTTCCATCTCATACTCACATTTGTGCATTGTGTCTCATTCTTCTTTCATTATACCTAACAGTCTTAACACTGTTTTCTTACACCTCTGTAAAGACAATGTATTTTTAGAACAGTAGCACATTAATATGAGAAAAAGCAGAATGGGGAAGTTGAAATAGCACTGCACAATCAGTTTTTTTGCTATTCTAGAAAAAATCCTGCTGGTTTCTCTTTGCAGCAGTCCCCAACTATTACAATTGCTTGGCAGCAATCCAAAATACAACCAGCCTGAAGTAGTCTATAGAGTAGAGGAGGAAAAAACAACAATCCACTGGTGTGGACAAACACAATGATTTAGCCAGAGCTTTGGAAGGAACCAGAAGTAAGGTAAGCAAAGACTGTTCCGAAGATAAAGTTCCCCTTGGAGTTGCTTACAGGAAAGACCTCTGAAATAAGTATATTCCCGTTTCAGGCCTGAACTCCATGACAAATGGAAGCTTCCTGCACGAGCTTCCTTACAAGCTTTTCATAGCGTAACATAGGAAGAAAGCATACCACATTCAGATGTCAAGAATTATCTCAAGAGAATTCTGTTCATCTACATCTGTAGCGTAAAAAGGCCATTTAAAAATTCCACTTTGTGGAAACTGTTTCAAGAAGCAATTATTAGTTGGCAAAGACATTAAGTGCTTGAGATGAACACATCAAATTTGAGTAAAAGTTACACTACTTTCAAAATACATTTTTAAAGTTTCTAAATACTTACTTCTTCAGGTGTAATTACTCCAGTTTCTTTAAACTTGGACTCCTGCAATAAAGAAAGTTGAGAAATTTTGAGAACTACTGAAAAATTTAAGTACCTCACTTTACAGGCAAGACAAACGTCTGATCTACTTTTGTCTTGGAACTAGCTCTGTCCAAAGAGATCTGTGAAATCAGCTTGGGGGCAACCTCCGCCAGGGCTGATAGGCACCTTATTTCCATATCCCATGATACAAGGCTGAAGAAAATTACTTGTTGCAGAATGTGAGGTACTAGGAACAAATACCACACATACAAAGTATTTCTTTTTCTACAGCTAATTATATCAATAATAAAGAAAAGATCCCCAGTATCACATTGGTCAGTAAGAGAGGAAACGAGCTGGAATCAGTGGTCCTCACAGTCAGGAGTCTGGGCCTTGTTCTAAGCACTGAACAGCCCTGCAATGCATCAATACCAGGCTTTGCAGGTAAGAAAGGCAATGAAATAAGCAACCAAATGGATTGTGGTAGGGAAAAGTTATGCAGAAATGCTTAGCTATTAAGTTTTTTTGTACCCATTTTTGTGCCTTCATTGTACACCCCATGGTAACCGTTTTGATTTTCTCATATTTTTGTGTTTTTCAGGGAGAATTGATGGCAAGCAGCAACATGATTTACTGGAAAAATGAAGTACTTTTGCATTAAAAATGACATTTATGAAGTTTAACAATACAACATTTTTGCATACTCATATCTAGAGTAAGTGTGCTTTGCTTCAAACTTAACTGTTTTCTTCAGAAAAGCCTCAAGCACCAAGAAAAACTACAGCTCCCCAGCATTAGAGCTATCCAAGAATGGATATTTAAAAATAACACAATTACAACCACAGCATACCTCACTCTTCAAGTTTTTGCATGATCATTTACTGAATAATTCCTGCCCTAAAGAACTCATGACTTTTTTCTGTGCAGACTAAAAGCAGCAACTGAAAAGTACACTACTTTTGGCTACAACTTCACCCCATTAAATCACTGAGAAAGCACTAAAGAAAAGCAGCTACTGCAGAACTTAGTTATGCTTGATGCTATCATCTGTGCTATGTGAAATGAAATGAGCACACCTGTTTCATAAGATCAGTGAGTACTTACTTTCACCCCCATTTCTAAAGAAGAGAGATTTAAGAAGAAACAAAACAGCAGCTGTACAAACACTGTAACATCACTATATGCCAATTAACAGAAATCAAAGAAACTCAAACAACTCTAATTTAGCAATTTGGATGACTGTAAAAATGAGAATTCCTATTACACATTACGAAGCACCACAGTGGAATCAACTTAATACATAACCTCAAAATGAACTCTAAGCAGTAGGTAACATGCAGAAACTTATGTTTCTGGAATTACGTAAGGAAACTTTAAAGCATCCATCCTCTGTTCCCTGAGAGTAAACAGTTTGCTTTTCCATCTCTGTACATTCTGTGGTATGTAAGCTAGTGAGAAACACATGTCTAATTTATTTCTGAAGTAGTTGGAAGTATTTATTTCAATCCCTTCTAAAAGGAAAATATATACATAATGTTATCAACTCACATTTGTGTGAGGTTCTGCCTCTTTCCAACAGTACAGCTGCACACAATAATTCCTCCACTATTACACCAGCTGTGCAACAGCAACTGTCCTATGGTAAACAAGCCACTTCACCTTTCCATGTCACAACTTACTGCAGCCCATAAATGTCACATTGGTGGGCAATTCTATCAGACTCACTACCCAGGAAAGAGCATATGATATACCACAGAAGAACAAGTTAAATTAATAATTGTGTATCACCTTCTTCTGCCCAAAGATCTAAGCTGTAGAGTACAAGGCATACAGGCCACACAGGCAGAGACACTGTCATCCACAATTACAGTGCAATTATTTTTTCAAAAACATAGAAAAACGTGAAGAACAGGAGAGAAAGAGCTGCTGACAAGCTAAGCATTCACACACAAAGCTGAGTTTTACATAAAAAGTACTTGTATACCCAAGGCAGAAAAGGGGAGGTAGCATAACAACTGCAGAAACAGACTTGCAGTTTGTTTCTAACAAAAAAAACCCCAAACAAACCAGCAATAAAAGGAATTAGAAGAGATGTGTTCCTCAACAGTGTTGCAATCAAAAAACGAAACAGCCCATTTCTACTGTTCACAGTTACTTCGGCGCACAGAGGGCTGCGTTAATACAGTAATGCTGATACAGGAGTAACCTGCGCTACAGAACTTCACATCAGCTCATGAAATGAACACGTGGCTTTTCTGTCAGATGTCAGCTGAAGAAGGTGCCCTCTCACCCAAAACAACCAGCACAAGGCACCCCCGGAACCAGGCTGCAGCCGATTTACCAGCACAGAGCCGCACGGGAGGCACTTCTCGGGCAGCAGCACCAGCAACACCCGCCCTCCGGGGGCTGCCGCCCCCAGC